GAATATTCCAGATTCACCCCTTGGTGACCATAAGAAATGCATTCTCTTTGTATCCCCAGATCCTGAGGCCAAGGCTGAAAACATAGTAGGGGCTTCAGAACAGTTTAACATTTTGAATGGACGAAATGCAAAATTAGCTTAGCAACCGATTCAGAAGAATCACTCAGCCTGGAGCAACTGTGTGGTATCAGTCCTAACAAACATGGAATCTCTCTGAAATTCTCTGTCCCTGTTTCCATTGTTATAGTTAGGCTCTCTCCATTTGGTTCAGAAGAGATACACACAGACTCTCTCCAGAATCCACGGCAGAAAGAAATAGCCTCTGGGTGTCAAACTAATAATCTTTTGACTGGCTGGAAGTGAATATGGCCACACAATGATTGACCTCAACATGCCAGATTATTGATTGGGCTGGAGATGCCAAAGCCATCATTTTCTTGGAGCAGTCACCCGCTTTTGTCTTGATCCTGTCCACAGCTGTCACACTGTGGTGAGCCATTGAGAGAGTCCACATTTGCATCCTTCATGCATTTAGGCTTCTCTGCTTAAAATAAAAATGCCACCACTTGAAAGGCTGAGTTGTTGGTTCTGGTTTTTAAAAAATTATCTCATTAAAAGCCAAGGGTTTGTGTTTAGTTGAGAGCAGAGGGACCGACATGCAGAATATGTAAAAGTGCTTTATGGGGGATATTTAATTTGGGGGGAAAATAATGAGAATAAAAATTGTTTCAATATGTTTTCTGTATTGTGTCAATATATCACACAGCTCCTTTCTGGAGTCACATTTGCTGTTAGGGTGGTTGGGATTTTTGTGGTTTTTTGTTGTTGTTCTCTGTTGAATTACAATTTTCAGCAGTAAATGAAACTGGCACAAAAGCAGGTGTTATTAAAACTGGGCAGGAAAAGGACAATAACAACATAATTCCACTTTAAAGGCTGATATGTGTATGGTTGAAATGACTTTGGTTGGAACCCATAAGGAATAGAACATACACCATAAAGAAAATGGATTTCAGCAACACATAAACAAAAGGCAAATGACTAATATATTTACATATAACATGTGGTGTATTCATTGCACACCATGGTGACAGAATTGTTTATTTCATTTATAATTTATACAGAAAAACCTTATTAAATGTGTAACTAGTTTGCCAGATGATAATATACATAGGAGATTAGGCTTCCATTATAGAATACCATTAACAACAAAAGTTGTTCATTTGTGAGTTCATTTTTTTTACCAGTCCTTTCTTTTCTGTAATGTATCCTCTGAACAGAATTCTTTCTTCAGTTATGGTGACACCATGGTAAGAAGAAAGTGGCCGTGAATTTCTAGAGGAGAGGTATGTTCATTGGTCAAAATGAAGAGAACTCCCACCCTCTGGTGTTCCCAGAATAACAGTCTTTAGAACATGTGATGGATAATTGATGGTTCATGTAAACTTCAAGGTAAGGTTAGAGATTCTAGAAAAATTCTTTTCTGGCACACAATATTCTGTGAAGAGCCAGAAATGCCAGAATTTAGGACCAGATAGAGATTGCTTCAAAGATCCAAGAATCCCTTGAGTGTGTGTGGTACAGGGAATGGGTTTAATGTGCTGTGTTCGATGGGCCATCGTATTAGATGCTTTGAGGAAATTCCAGACACGAAGACAGAAATACATGTAGTGCAGGGTACAAGCAGCTTTAGAGATAATGATAGGATATTAACTAGAAAGTATTTTTCCTTCCAATTTTATTGCATGAATATGGACTTATTGGTACCTGCTTCTCTCATAGGCACAGGACTAACTCTGTCTCTTTCTTTCTTTCTTTCTTTCTTTCTTTCTTTCTTTCTTTCTTTCTTTCTTTCTTTCTTTCTTTTCTCCTCCTCCTCCTCCTCCCCCTCCTCCTTCTCTTCCTCCTCTTCCTCCTCCTCCACCTTCTTCTTCTTCTTCTCCTTCTTCTTCTTCATTTTTGTTTGTTTGTTTTGTTTTGTTTTATTCCAATACTAGAGATTGAATCCAGGGCCCTGTGCATGCTAGGCAAAGAACTCTGTCTCTGAGCTACAACACCAGCCTTCTGTCCTCATTTTTAGGATTCATTTTTGGAATAAGAAAAGAAAACCCATCTTTAGGATTGTCCTTCTTGTGGTGTTATTTGATGAGGATTAAACCATTTCAGAGTGTTTGTGGTGAGTCTCTCTCCAAGCTAGTGAGGGGTGCTTGTGTGTGGGTGGGTGGGTGGGGTTTGGGAGGGGGGATAAAATTGAGGTGGTGGAGAAATGCTTTTAAACAATAAAATGTATTTTACTTTCAAGCCTGGAGCTGTCAGGCTTCATTTCAAATAATGTATCCTGACAGTTCATAGCTACTCTTAAAAACTGGGTGAAGCTTTTGCAGTTGCAAACTAGTGTGATAAAACATGAAAATACTTTATTCAGGTAAAGTGGAAATAGCTGTTCAGTCTGGTTAAGTTACACAGAAACCTTTTCCTCTCTAAATTAATGTACTGTGCAAATATCCTGCCTGTGACACCCTAGCTGTCCACTTAATAAAAGTCTTTCCAGTGAGACCTGTGTCTTAGTGCATCAAAGCATTAGTGAATGTTCAGAACTTAAAGCCAGATAAACTTGAACATTCATATCAGGCATTGTAAGGAAGTGAATCTTAGTGCTGCCAATCATAAGTGGAAAAGGCAAAGAACATATCAGTCTCTACTCTTTGCCTCAGACAAATGCAAAAAAAAAAGCCTGTTTTTTGTTTTCATTTTATTTTTATACATTTTTCCACTTACTAGTTTCATAATTATCCATGTGGTAACTCGAAGCTGACCAATATTAATCAAACACAAAAGAGAAGGATGGTTAAAGAAAAAAACAAAACTGGAGCCATTTTATTAAAATCAATATTCATTCAGCTCCTTATGTACCACATCCTACACTAAAAACAGAGATACAAAAATGAACAAGGCAAACTCAGTTCTTGACCTCACAAAGTTGCCATCTAGTGTGGTGGCTGTTGACTATCCATGAAAATGTTCACTGGAAACCAAATAGCTACCTGAATTCACAGCCAAATTGTAAGCTGGCAAATGCTGGAGGGTTGTTAGGTTGTCTCTGCTAGAACATCAGGCAGGTGGATCATCCATCCTCTCCTTTGGGTAATTAGAGATCTTGGGTTTGAAGTTCTGCAAACTTGAAAACCAGAGTCATGGGATGATTTGTGACTTACCATCCCCATCTCCCATCCATATATTGAATTTCTAATTCCCAGTGTCTCATAATATAACTAAATTTGGAGATAAGTCCTTAAAAAAGGTAATTGATTTAATGAGGTCTTCAAGGTGGCTCCTAATCTAATATGACTGGTGTGTTTCCTAGTAAAGATGAGGACACAGACATTCAAGGAGAAGTCTGTGTGAAACCGCAAGGAGAAGACATGCCAAGGAGGGAGAGACTTCTGAAGAACCCAATCCTGCTGATATCTTGGTCTTAGAATTCTGGCCTCTTCCAGACGGTGAAAAACCAAATTCAGTTGTTTAAGCCACTAAGTCTGTAGTGCCTTTTTATGGCAGTTGTGGCAAACTAATAACAGAGCTAGGCTGAGCATCTTATGGGAGAAATGCCATCTAGCCTCTGACATCTCTGCTCAGTCACAGAACAAATGATGACTCTGGCAACTTCTTGAGAAAAGTTGAAGGAAGGGCTACTAGATCTGTTTTTTTTTGTTTGTTTGTTTGTTTGTTTTTTTTTTTTGGAGAATCACATGGTCCTCAAAGAGGCTACACATAAAATTAAATCATAAACAAACAATTGGTTTAGTTCCATTGTCCTGTAAAAGTCTGTTCTCCAGAACATTCTTTCTGGAAGAGTTGTGGAGAAAAGAATTCCAAGATCCAATATGTTTGGAAACACTATATCTCTCTTCTTAGTAATTTGCACAGACTATTTGCATGTGAAGAATGCTAGGTGAAACTGTATTTCAGAGAGCTGTTTAGTTTTTTTAAATCTAGTATTTGCCAAATATTTTTATAAGAGAATTTGCTTTCCTATAATATCTCTTAAAATCCAGTATAATGAGTGTTCTGTTGAAAATACTGCAGTAAATCCACATCCATTAGCATTTGTGCCCCAGTCTGCATTGCTGCATGGGAGTCAAATTTTATTTTATTAATAAAGTACTAACATTATTATTAGTCCATGAAAGCATTGGCCTAAGTGAATCTCAAATAAACTGATGACATATGCTGTTCCCTCTGGCCAAACTGTGCTACCCATACGTGTCCTTTCGGTCATATTTCAAAGTCCTTCTCAAGTTTCACCTTCTCCATGCAGCCTGTCCTCATCTTTTCTCCTCAACATAAGCCATAATGGATCACACTCTTTTCTGGACTGCATTCTGGCACATGCAGTTAGTGTCACTTTGAACAACAGTTATTTAATTACACCTCAATTTCTCCTCTTAGATTGGGAGATTCTGGAGAACATGAAGTATATCACACCAATCTTTCATCTTTGGTGAGAGCAGAATGACTGACAGGTGGTGAGTATTCAGTGAAGGGTGGCACAATAAATCAGGGCCTGGTTTCATGACAAAGCCAATGGTGCTATATTCCTAAGCCATGCCACATCCTCTACTTTTTAAATCATAGTAAAGTTGTACAACAGAAGTTTCTTTTCAATAGAATATTCTAGGGGAAAAATACCAACTCCTTCAAAATGCTGCAATCAGAAAACAATAATGTACGTCCCTTGAAGGTAGTGAAGATCATTTTTTGAAGAATAATATCTATTTATTACACAACTACTATGTGCCAGGCTTGTGCTGCTGAATGCTTTGCCCACACTATTTCTGTGTATACTCTTTAATGACTGCTCTTTGTTAGCTTTATTCCCAAACAAAAGCACACACACTATTGAAAGCACAAACAGCTGGAATTCTTGCAAGGGAAGTAGTGAGAAAGACACAACTTTCTGTGGCCCAGCTTTTTACTCTCCAACTATATGACCAATCCATATGTGAGACTTCCCAGGTTACCAAGATGCATACACCACTCAGAGAAGCAGAGGACGAAAGAGAACTTGGCTATTCTAGTATTTGCATGTAGAAAAGAAAGATGCACTTATCTGGGAGAAAGAAATACAGCTCCTCCTTCATTCATCTCTACTCATTGATTCCTTTATTCCATTATTAGACAAAGATGAAAAAGACATATTCTGCAGCCTTTGTAAGGATAAGACAGGAAGCTACTAATCAATAGTCCTCAATTCCTTCCTTCCTCTCACTTCCAGCATCTAAACTATTGGCAAATTTCATAATTCCACTCCTTCAAATAGATCCCAATCCAGTCTATTACCTTCCATCTCTACTGCCCCTGCCCTAGGCCAAGCTGTCACTAGGTCTTTCCTGGGCTACCACCAACTTTTCTACTTGCACCCACACTTGTGCCCCTAAGACCATTCTCATTACAGTGACTACAGAGGCTTTTTCAAGTATAAGTTATATTATTAGATATCTTTGCTTAAAAACTGTCGCGACCCCTCGCCGGCAAGGGAAACACGACACAGGATTCTTCTTTCAGCAGTTTACTCAGGACCTTTGAATCATGATGAGAAAACAGGAACAAGAGAGGAAAGAGCGCGAGGGGTTGGTCTGCCCTAGGTTAAGTACCCAGCCTCGCCAATGAACTAGCACCTCGTGGAAAAGTCTAATAGGTACAGCGCAGCGGAAGCAGGCCAGAGCTCAGCCCCACAGCCTTACAAGGAGTTGTTTACTTCTAACAACTCTAACCGCTAAGTCATCAGAAGCAGGAGGCCAGCGCCATTTTCAGGGTGCAGTCGCCGGCTCCCAACAAAAAACTTTCCATTTGTTTACTGTAGCTTGAAATATAATTCCCAAATCAAGATGTACAGGTCCTTTTGATCTCTTTCCTATCTGCCTCTCAGATGTTATTTGTATGTTCATTTTTTTTTTCTCTTTGTGCCTCAAGCAAGCTTATTCTTGTCCCAGGGCTGTAGCGCTTAAAGTTCTTTCTACCTTGAGAAAATTTTCTTTCCCATGTTTTTTGCCCTACTGGTTCTTTTTAGATATTAGTGCCTCAGACCAGTCTGAACAAATTATCCCTTACCAGTTACTCCCTTTCATTTTTTTCTGTTTTAGTTTAGTTTTGTTAAATCTAGTATTTGCCAAATGTTTTTATAAGAGAATTAGCTTTCCTATAATATCTCTTAAAATCTAGTATAATGAGTGTTCTGCTGAAAATATTATAGTAAATCTGCGTCCATTAGCATTTGTGCCCCAGTCTGCATTGCTGCATGGGAGTCAAATTTTATTTTATTAATAAAGTACTAGCACTATTATTAGTCCATGAAAATGTTGGCCCAAGTGACTCTCAAATAAATTGATGACATATATATATATGTCAAACAGGATACATATATAAATGTTGTAAAAAATACACTACATATATATAAAAATACACCTGCATATATATGTATGTGTATTTTTTGCAACATTTATGAGTATCTGAAGTTATCTTTGTTGTTTTCTTATTTCTTGTATGTCTTCATCTATTAGTAGGCATATTCAACAAAGCCAAGATACACTAATTATTAATAGCATTATCCATAGTGGCTAGAACAATGTTTAGCACACAGTTATAAGTGCTAATTCAGCACATTTGACTGATGGAAGAATGAAGAACTCACTCCTGATCCTTTACAGACTCTGGTCAGTGAAAACCAAAATGTAGCTGTAGTCATGGCTCTTGGAAAATGAAGGGAAAGAGACTGGCTGAAATCCATTTCCTGGATCTCTTCAGGTTAGGAGTTTCTGTATATCAAAACAATGATATGCATATCCTTTTATAAATGGAAATCATCAAGAAAACATTTTATTCACAGAACTCCCAGAGTGACATTGCTAGATCCCATGACTTGAGTCTGCATTACAAGTGAAAATAGTCTCCAATTAATTCATGTAGGTATTTCTTTAGTGAGATTCTCCTGAGTATAATTCATTAGAGTAAAAATGTGGAATCAATTCTATTCTAGAATTAACAATGACAGAAAGAAGCTTTGGTGGAAGGAAGTAGGATGTCTGCTCAACCAGAGGTGAAATAGGTCAGAGGGAACAGGGCTGGAGCCCATGACAACATCTCAGCAGTGAAAGAGGTAAAATGCCACTTCTTGTGCTTTTCTTGTGACTTGGCCTCTCTGGGAAAATACAACCACTGGGGAATGTATTTCTTGTGTCATCTTTATAGGACGAAATCTTCCCTCCACTAAATTCAATGGGAAAATCATGTCAACATGTTTTTTTGAGTTACAGTACAAGAAAGAACCACACACTGTCATTGATCTACCATAGACCTCATGGCAAAGGAAATCATTGCAAGGTTGAGCACATTGCAAGGGAAGACATGAGGGGCATAGGTAAGATTCTGGGTATAAAAGCATCTAGAACAGATATGACCCTCAGTAACTCTCACCACTGTCTCTTCCTTCCCTTTTCCTTTCAATCCACACAATTTAATGAAGGATAGCAAAGATGGGCATTCAACATAAAGCATGCATTCTATTTTATACGTAAAATAAAGATCGGTTCTTCTAGAATTGGCATGGGCAACATGGAGATATCCTTTGTAAGAGTTTTTAAATAAAGAGAATACATTTGAACAAGCTCAAAGTTAATACCTTTTTACTTTCTCACATATAAAAATAACTAATTCCTCGATAAAAACAACAATCATGATGACAATGTATAACCTGTCATTATCCAATCTCTTCCCAAATAACCTGAAGAACTATAAGATCACTGGTGTCTAGAACAATGGTTGGCACAAATTAGATACTACTCAAATATTTTTCGAAGGAATACAAGGAAGAAGAGATTTTTAATTATCCTTGGCAGATTGTGACTGATGGACAGAAATTTGGGGTAATCATTCAAAGAGGGAAGAGCAAAAGAATACCTGAAATTCAATTACTACACCAAAAATATATTTGTGCATAATGATTATGATTGCTATTATTATTTTTTAAATGCATTGCATTTTCTAAGCATATTCTACTTTTGGAGATACTTTCAAATACATTATACATAATCTTCATAGCCTCCTTGTTGAGATGAGAGCTATTTTATTGCTAGACAAAAATACAGTATAGAATGTTTAAATAACTTGCCTTCTTCCTCTACCAATTTATGGCTGACCAAAGATTAAAGCTAAAGCTGTAATTTTCCAAATCTTTCAAATGGACCGGTGAAAGATTTTATACACACACACACACACACACACACACACACACACACAAACACACACACACACTCAAAGTAAGGATAAATAGGCTTCAAAAATCAGAAATTTGGGGGGAAGATTATAAACCTAATTCTATAATATGTAAATAGTACCAATGAAGAACTATAACTTCTGGAATCTTTCTTTAGAATAGAAAACTAAGGTGAATAGTGATTTAAAGGATAATATTT